ACTCAAAATGTCTACTTTATTACTTGAATGTGACTCGTGCACTTGCTGTGTATAATTTTAGTGAACACATACCCATGTCATGTCGTGTTGTATCCGACACGGGTACTCCAACCGTTTTGAAGAGTTCGAGCATCAAAGATGCCACCGCAGTTCCCCAACAAATTTGAATTAAGCAAAGGTTGTTCATCATAGACCAGTGTTTTAAAAACTAGCCGGATATTGAGTGGAAAAAAGTTAGGGATTAAGGGTCAAAAGGTTCAACCAGAGTCAAACTAGAAGTAAAAAATATATATCTATATCTGTACTACAAAAGCTGTTAACAATATGTGGTTAAAATTTCACATCACCAATTGAAAGGATATAAAGATTTATGTTTGTTAATAGAATATTATTATTTGTAACTTTGAAGGTGTGGATGCTTTGAAGGTGTATAAGAAAAACTCATGTACATGAATGGCTTGAGACTTGATGGTGTAAGCAATTTGTCCCTCCATAAGGACAAAAACATTATGCCAAATGTTTTTTATGGCTCAACAAAGTTTGTTCAAAATTATTGGTGTTGAGATGGACGTGAGTGACCAGGTTGAAGTTAGGTTAGAACTTCTGTTACACAAAGAATGTCCTATATCAAACTCTTGGGAGGATAAATTTCCCACATGCATATATAATAGTCTAATGCACCAATTGTAGAGAAGACAAATCCCCCCATGACATTCTCGTTCTAATACCTCTTTTTCAACCAAATCTCTTGGTGTCCCTCGAAATTCTTTTTGTGGTTATATAGTAGTCATATACTATATTTATGGTAGCATACTATTATGACATAGTACAAGAGAAACTAAGTAGATTATACTGAGAACAGAAAAGTAAAGCAAACACAAACTTGCGTTGTTGAGCTAAAATAAGCTTACATGCACAGGTGAATTCTAATCCACTAAGAAATGGGTCATTACGAGGATTTCTCACACTATCTCGAGGAAAATCCCGAATTTCACCCTGACTCTTCCACTCAGTGAGAATCCAACAGCCTAATTTGTACTTGGAACTAAATCCTATATTATTCATTTAGAGAGCAAAATAAAAATGGTGGCTAGCGTCATAATTCATCTGAGAATGAAAGACATTTTAAACACATAGCATTAACGCTCTACAAATCCTAAATTGCATAACAACACATTGTTTCTTGATTTTCGAAAGCATGCAGTTGAATATGAGAGAGCAAAAACAGGGAGTTTTTACCTGTCTCAGTTTTTCCCTGACAGTAGTACCAGAGGGAGATAGGCACATGGCATATAACACCCGGAGAACGTTTACCTGCACAGCAGGTCCTGTTAAGTTAATTAATGAAAAAAGTTTATATATGTCCTCGTCGGATTCCAACATCAAAACCTGTGATTCTCCTGAATCTTGAAGTGTTGTTGATTGAGAAAGATTCACAAGAACAGCAGCTACAAGTTCACGCAAGCTTTGAGATGAAGTGTGACATAAGAGAATGTCAAGCAATGGACGCACACCACCTTTTCTTATCATCTCCTGGCCATTCTTTCGTAAGCTTGAAAGGTTCAGTAAGGCTCGAATTGCTTCTATTCTCATTTCAAGGTTATCACGTGAGATCAAGACAAGAAGTAAATCTAAGACACCCTCTTCAACCAGAGATGATTTATTATGATCAGTTAATTCCATCTCTCCTAAAGTTTTCGTCATTCTGATCTTCACGTCCTCATGCCCTGTGTGGAAAAAAGGCTTTAACTTTCTAGGTTTTATATTGCCAATGGCTATAGCCTAAAATAGGCAGCTGTAGTGAGCTAACTAGTAGTGAGATCTTGTATACATTTTCACCTAAAATATCCGAATTCAAGTCCCCAGTCATGAATTTTAGACAATATCATTGGTTAGCTTAAAGAATTCGTAACAATTAAATTATTCTGTCATTTTCTTTTCATAACTAATCTTCAACTAACATATCTGTTACAATTTAGTTGATCCTGGTAGTATCGACTTTTGCATACAGGATGGCATAATAAATTTCTCCCAGTCATTGGAAACATTTCATACAAGATAGCACAAGGAACATAGATGGGTCTGAGAAATGTCATACAGTAAATCTTAACAACAACTATATGTTTTATTTTAAATCTATAATATTTAAAGACTATTGTTTGGTGAAAAAGATCTTGAAAATTAAGCAAAATAATAGAAACAATGGAAAATTTACTCTCTCAGACGCTCATATAGAAACCAAAACCAACTCCAATGGAAATCGCCTCATTTTTTGCATCTAATTCTCTAATGCAGATGCTTCATATTAAGCTCTAAAACTGGGTTTGTGTTGACCATGCATTTACTAGATAGGGAGATGTTATTTGTTGAAATATAGAGCAATTACGATCACCAAAGTTACCCATTAAATGCTGACCACCAATTTTGAAGTAGAAGAACCATTAATACATGGGAGGACTTTGTGTTCAAGCATTATAGTTGATAGTCTACAAGTTTTTTCAAATACGAACCTGAACATGCTATTTTATTCTTAATGCCCCTGTTTGAGCCCCACTCTCTAAAAACTCATTTTCAATCACATATTTTCTCAACAAAATAATTTGCACATAAATCAAAAATTTTTCCTTACTTTTTAACTACGCATGCTTAAAAATAAAAAAAAAATAAAAAAATAAAAAAAATAAATCTGTATTACAAAACTGCTTTTCACAAAAAATGGGGCTCAAACATAGCCTTTCTTGGAAATGATCTCTTAGCAGGTCAAAGCTATTATTCCAGTTAAGTTTTTGAAATCCTAAAATTGCCAACAAGTTTCCAGGTAAACTCTATCAAGGTTGTTCCATTTCAAAGTAATAAAGCTATCTACAAATTCATGATGTTCCTGTTGATAGTAAGATCCAGAAAGCATAGAAAAAAGTAATTAAGTTTCAATGGTCAAAGGACTGAACCTGAAGAAAGAAGCTGCAGAAGATATTTAAAATAATTATTCTTTGCCATGAGGATAACATTGTCATCAGAGAACGAAAGATTGTCCAAAATGTTTTTCGCATATCCGGCGGCTAGATTGTCAGCACTGCTTAACATAGTTACCAAAAGAAGAATGCAGCCCTGGACATTGCCAATCCAGTTGCGCACTGATTCATTTTCTGAGAGTTCCAAGAGTAATGCCACAGCTGATTTTCCTTCACCAATGCGACGTCCAAGAGACTTAGCAATAGATTCCATGGCATTGTCAACTCTAGCAATTCTTTCCTGCAAAATGTATCATCTTAGTACAAGTATAAAATAAAGATGTCGACTACCTTAACACTCTTAGACCACCTACAGTTCTTTACCTGAAACTGGAGTTTATTTTTAATACAAAATGAATGTTCTAGCAAACCAAAATAGAAGTAAAACCCAACATTAATTAGGAATATGTTACATTAATCTTCCACAAGTTCAAGGACCTTATCTGAATAAAATTTCAGTTCCTAGCAGTGCTCAACAAAAGTCTTCGCCCATGCATATTTGGGGTTGTTTAGTTGCTACCAAAGCCGGATAATGAATTGAAAAGATTTTGAAATTTATTATTTGTACAGTTCATTTCAGTAAAATTTCATGAATGACCAAATATTATCTCCCAGCATACATTTTGTTTGTGAGGTATGACACACATCAATCTCAGATTCATATAGAGCATAAAAACAAGCTGCATACATATATCAACAAAATCCTGCAAATTTATGTACCATATCATGATTCTAAGGGGCCGTTTGAGCCCCATTATTTGTAGATTATAATGAGATGAATAGTGTTTTTTTTTTAAAAAATGAGTGGTTGAAAAATTTTTGATTTACGTGTAATTTTTTTTATTGAAGATTGTTTGGTTAAAAGTAGGAGAGAGAAAAATTTAATTTAATGTAATGAGAAATAATGGGGCTCCAACGGGGGCTAAATAGTTATCAAAATTATGCACGTGTTTGATCCCCCATTATTTCCAAAATATATTTTCCCCTCTTCTTTTCAACCACACATTCTTTAATAAAATAATATTACATACAAACCCAAAATTTTTCATCATTTTTTAACAACACATTCTCCATCATTCTACCGTTCCAATAAACATTCTACACCAAAAGTGGAGATCAAACAGGTTCATATATGTAGGACTTCAGACCACGGAGAAGCATCAATTCGCAAAATTGCAACAAACACAATAAGTACCTTGGCATCATCATTATCCTTTGCCAGCAAGCAAAGGATATCAAGAGCACGCTTTCTGATATCTCCATTTTTCGCCTGAAGAAGCTCAGTAAGACAGGGTATGTAATTCTCCAATACAATCCATTCTCGGTGCATTTCTCCTTCTTCACAAAGATCTTGCAGCTGTTCCAGGCATTGCAGCACCTCCTCTTCTTCTCCCAATGATAGTCTAGATTTCAAGGAAGCGATAATGATCATGGTGTTCCTGTCCTTCCATTCTTCTATAGATTGCCTTAGTGTTTTGTTAGGCCTCAGCATCGAAGTATCTAGTGGTGTCGAGGTCACGGGACACAAGTGACCATCCTGCTCTGCCAACCACTTCTCTATGGCGCTCCTCTCAAATGTATGTCCTGATGGAGTTTCCACAGGATCAACCATTACTTCTTGAGTGATTGGGCAATAAAAGGACTGGAGAGGTTCTAATGGCTGGTTACCTAAAAAAGTTCTCTTCATTAAGTACTTCTTTTCTCTATCCGCCAGTGACGTTGCTGCATCTGCCCTTTCTAGCAAAGCAATAATTTGATCCATCTGTATGGCTTCAGCCTTGTCTTTCCTCAACCGTAAATTTTCTATTTCGCTCTTAAATTCTTCAAGCTCCTTTTTCAATGCTGCTCGATCAGTTGAAGCTCCAACGACCTCTGCAATAGAGACAAGCAATTTATTGGCATAGGAGCGATCGACATTCCATTCCTGTATCCCTGATTCTATTTTTTCCAAAATCTCTTCTTCTGCAATGCCAGCCTTGAACTCAGCATTTTGCATGTTATTAACCAGCCGGTCAATATCTTCCCTGATCCCCAATGAAATATCTAGAGAAGCCAAAGGAATGCAACTCATTGCATGGGTAATCTCTCGGGTAATGTCTTTTATGCGCTTAGCGATTGACCTGGAATTCACAAAAAGATAAAATCGGTTTCTCTCCTTGCATTCCTCAATTAGTTGTTTTGCAACCTTGGTCTCGTGGTAAAGAATCTCCACAAAGTTTTCCAACCCTTCTGAATCTCTAATGTCCTTCATATTCAACTCCCGTAAGAGAGGAATGGTGTGTTCTAAGTAAGATGAGAGTTCAGCAAAACTCTTCTCCTTAATGAGGACATTCTTCGAAGCAATTGCTACCTCAATGATGGCCTCTATAGTCTGAGAAAGGAGTTCCATTATCGGAACAAGAGACGTATTAGTTACAACATCCATTACTATATTTTTACCAGTCAATTACCTTTCTGGACCATCGGTACCAATCCCATGAAAGGAAATTCACCCAACTCAGCTGTAGAAGGTGCTCACCCCATTTAGTATACCTTAACTTACCTACATTAGGATCAAATGATCAAGAATGCCGATCAAACTTAAAACAAAAAGACCAACAAACCAAATAGCAAGAAAATAGGCAAACAGAAAATAAAATCACGATCTTTAATTTCATACTATAAACAAAAAAGCTCCATTACGGTATGTCAGGATTTTAATTAATCGATCAGTAATCCAAGCCTTATACGTTGGTCTATATTTTCATCCTTATTTGCTTTGAAATTTATCCTTAAACATCAGCTTTATAAACTTTCCCGTCAACCAAAGGACTCACTGAATCCATGAGTGAAGGCGATGATCAAAGACAACAATAGGTTGTGCAAGGATATCCAAATTCCAAATTATGAATGATACACAAAATGGTACTAGTCTCGTTTATCTTCTTCACCATAACAAGAAGAAGACAAAAAAAAAGTCAACAAGAAGTAGTAGTAACTGACCTGGGCTACTCACAAGACTGGAAATTTTTCCATCCCAAGAAAGTTGTGAATCCAAGATTATCAAGCACGGCTGGAAACAAGAAAATTTGAGAAAAGAAACACTCCTCTTAATGTAAACTAAAATTGTATGATACTGCAAAAATGAGTGAAATCACAGAAGAAAAAATTATCAAAAAAAAATAAATAAATAAAGATGCGTGTGTTCATTCATTGAAGAAGCAAAAACAAATAAGAATTGGAAAGCGCCGGTGCGAGTGGCTGTGATCAGCAGAGAGAAGTCTGGAAAAGTAAAAGAAAATCGTGTGTACGTGTTTTGCTTGTTTTGGGCCTTTCTTCGTTTGGGCCTTGCTCCAAGAAGAATAATTCGTTTTGTTTTGTTTTGTTTTGGTGAGAGTAATTTGGCACTTTTCTTGCAACCTGCTTTTATTTATTATTTTTTGAAATCTTGAAAAAATAAATAAATAAAATATATATAAAATAAACATTATAAAATTTTAAAGTTAAGTGCTTGTTTGATTTTGTTGAAAATCAGATTATGAGTACATTTTTATAAAAGTTAATAAAATGTTTGGTAAAAATAAAAAAAATAAAGAAATTATGTATTTCATGAAATGTATGACTGAAAACAAGTTTAAGAAAAAATAAATTTTAAAAAGTAAGGATCAAATAGAGACTAAAGGTGTGTTTAATTATATTTATTTTCCATGAAAAATATCAGTTTTTCATTCAAATTTTTACTTGGAGTGTTTAATTGCTATTTTTTTCGTGGAAAATATTTTCCAACTTTTAAAAATATGCCTAATTTTCCTTGTTTTTAAAGAAAACATTTTCTTTAAATGGAGGTGGTTTTTATTTTCCACAAAAGATGGAAATCATTTTCTTTTATAGGTGATATTTTCCATATCAATCAAACACACTCTAAGTTATCAACAGGTGGGATCAGTAGCATCCCTAGTCCCATTGAAATTTAAATAAAAATTATGATTTTATATATTTTTTATTGTTTTTAATATCATCATATTTTTGTGTTTGATAGATTCTTATGGAGTTAAATAGGCTTCAATAAATTCGTCACTAATAATTAGTCTTAAAGTCAGAATAATTGTTTCATTTCAACATAATCATAAGGAAGCTGATTTCGCCGTTGTTAAAGTACTTCATTTATTTATTTTTTAAAACAAAGAAAATTACACTATGTCTTATTAAGAAATAACCAAATGTAATTTTATTAAGAAATAACCAACATATTTTTTTTAATTCAAAATGAATATTACCATTTCCTATATAACAAAGAGAAAGAGTTGGTCAGCACTAAGCTTTAGCATTGGCGTGTCCGCAACTGGAGGTATCAGAACATGAGCGTATCTGCGTCCAAGAAGTAAAATTCAAAATCATTAGCTAACTGTCTCCGTTTGGTGGTGATTGAAATTTTAATTTAAGGATCTGTTCGGTAATAATTATGAGAATTGATATTTTCATCATTAGAGAGAAAATTAGGTTCTACTTGTGAGTAAACAAGTCAAATGATGACTAGAATAGTGAAATAACGGTCTATCAATTTTTTGAAGTGAAAAATTGAACTGGAGGTATCAGAACATGAGCGTATCTGCGTCCAAGAAGTAAAATTCAAAATCATTAGCTAACTGTCTCCGTTTGGTGGTGTTGAAATTTTAATTTAAGGATCTGTTCGGTAATAATTATGAGAATTGATATTTTCATCATTAGAGAGAAAATTAGGTTCTATTTGTGAGTAAACAAGTCAAATGATGACTAGAATAGTGAAATAACGGTCTATCAATTTTTTGAAGTGAAAAATTACTATAAAATGGGGGCTAAGTCAAAGTTAACAACCAATTTTAATCACATATTTCATGGATTCTACAACTTTTCAGCCATATATTTTATCAAATTTTATTAAAATTTACTAAAAATTAGATTTTAATTCCCGTTAAACAGATGTTGTGTATTTCCAATTAACAGGATGATAGGGGGAGGGGCCTGTCGTGCAGTTCAATAAATGTAACGCGATTTAATATTGGCAGGGCAGGCCTTCATGCATAAATAGGCTACCCTACATGGAAAGAGTCATGGCATGCATAGAACTTCTAGCACGCTTTCACAAGGATGGAATTTACCTAGTCAATGACTTGTAATATAGAGTCTGTTTAGGAGTGATTTTGATAATTGATTTTTTGATCTTTAGGAAAAAAAGGGGTGCATTTGTGAGAGAAGAAGTCAAATATGACGAGTAGAATAGTAAAATAACGATCAAAAAATCAATTTTTTAGAGATAAAAATCGCTCCCGAACAGGCCCATAAAGTAGATTATAAAGTGAAGAGTGCTGTTTGCACAGGCTTAAAGCCAGGGAAAAATCTCAGCCGGGAGGCTTAAAGCCAGGGCGAACAATTTTATTCTTAAAAAGTTGTCCTCCTTTCAAAGTCCAGGGCTAAGAAAGATTTCTTCATCCTTCTTTGTTCATTCATAGCGTCACTCTCTTCTGGGGTCAAAGCTATTTTTGAGTGAGTGACTATAAAAAATAAATTAAATTTAACTAACACAGCACTGCAATGGGAATTTGTATCAGGTCCAAAATATAAAGAAAAGGTCATGCAGTGTTGGCTATCCTACACAGTAGTAAAAAACCAGCTGGTGCCGTGCAATATCTTTAAAATTATTTGAATACCAAAGAATTCCATGTTATTCAACCAAATATACGAAGAAAAGAAGCATAGAATCAACATTTTCTTGTCTTCATATTGTGCAACTTTGCAAGTATCGGAAATCACCACGACGATGAGGAGGCAAGCATGTAACTCAAACAAGCTCATATGACACCATTAAAAACATTTACAAACGTGCTCCCTGTCCTGGCTTGGGGACAGGGGTGCCATGTTGGAGGGGCTTCTGCCCCTGACAGACACCCCTCCAATAGACATGGCGCCCCTGTCTTCAATCCTATCCCCAAGCCAGGACGGGGAGTTTTATTCAAACATTTATATGCACTTGAGCTCATATGTCAGAGTTATTTCATCGCCTTGGAGTCAAACCCAGAGTGCCCAAGAACAGATTTCAGTTCTATGTGATATGTCTGAATATAGATTTCACTTAGTTCATTGCATTGGAATTAACATTACACTGTATATGCGAAACCAAGCAACTAGAAAAATTTTGTCCGGCAGCACCATTTCAAGATATAATTCAGGTAATATTTTTACAAATGGGATTAATAAATTTTACACTTACCTGAAAATATTTGTTACAACCGCCCGAGGGCTAATATGAATCAGAACCGTAGTACAAGACAATGTGAAAAGTCAGGAAAGCATATTCACCAGCACACAATGCCTAAGAGCGCAAGACAAGACTCTGGCATTCATTATACGGTAGTTGTAGATTTGCAACACCTTATATCATATTTCTATAGGATATGTTCAGCTTAGGGGCCCCAAGCTCCGGCCTAATTTACAAATTGTGCAGCCTTGGATGCAGGGAGAGATTTCATATCATCTCTTAGCCACAGAGGCGGCAGAATTTATG